AGTCTGGTACAGTGTTCTCACATTCCATGTTCCAATTTTCGTTTCCCCCTTGGCACTCGGAAACTGGCACATCGGGTCTCTAACTTCCTTGCGGCTTTCATTAGAGGCCGTCACTGTGGATTCTAGTCCACTGCCATCTTCCTTGCGCCGATCCCTCTGGTTTCCACTTGCTGTTTCTGTAGCAGGTTTATGTTTTACTGGGTTGGGGTGCTAACCCAACGCCAAACTCCCTCTATCGAGGGAGGTACAGGTCGGAACTGCTAATTAGTACCTCCCTGGTGTCGTAAGCCCCCCGAAGGTTACAGGTCTCCCATGCACCAGACCCAGGCAGGACACCAAGTCGGAACAAGCTGCTACACCTCGACAAGGTTACACAGTTCCTTATCCTGGTGGGGTGAGGGCCCCCAGGATCGTAGCAGATTTTACCGGTTGTGAAAAAACAAAATCTCAATCAATATCCTATGCACTTTTTATACTTCATAGCAACACAGGCAAGACATATAATAATAATAATAATGATAATAAAATTCTTTATTGCATAGTTTGATTTTTCTTCCAAGGTTTTGAAAGTCCTTCTGCTACCTTCCGCGATGCACTGCTCTTAAGAACTCAATTATCTGCCCATTGTACCAACGTAATAAAATTATTCACAGAGGATATACAGTAGTCCAAAGTCTGATCTTTTGCCATTCTACTTCACAATGTTGAAACAGGTGGCCCACTTTCCAACATCACCCACCTCCACTGCCGCTGTGACCACCTGACCAAGTTTGCCGGGTTCGTCCCGCCCAATCCTATCGACTTCACGCCGAGTGGAAACTTCTTCGAGAACCCGATAGGACTCATCGCAGTCCTGACTGTGTTTGGTCTGTTCCTGCTCGGATATCTGATGGCAAGAAAGGCAGACAGACTGGACCTGACAAAGGTTATAAAGTATAAATTTATAAATTTCATAAAGCAGGCAAACCTGTACAAGTAACTACCTTTACTTAAGGACCATCTAGCCAATGTAACAATGTTTCGATGGTGCCTTAGATATTTTTCCCATTGACACAAGCATTCAGGATCCTGTTCAAAGTGCTCAGCTGTTCACATATACCAGAATTTATTAGTCCTCAGAGTGATCTTCTTAGGCAGTTTCTGCTCACTGTGACTCTTCCGGTCAAATTATTTTTCTTAATTTGAAAGAATAATGTATAATTGTTATGACCGTCAATGTCTTCGAAGTAGTGATACCATGATGATCACGATAATTTAATCATTGGTCATTAAAATCATTGAAATAGAAAGGCCGTTGACCATAACAGAAAGGCCGTTGAGAGATGTGTTTATCATCTCATAGTTTTCGTAACTTTTTTATTTATATCTTCTTATCTCGCCATGTAGGTGGGTGTGACCACACCAATCAGTCACACGTTAAACCCTGACCCTGACTACTGTTACATAATCACTGTCTACACTGGCTTTCGCCTGGACGCCGGCACTACGGCACAGGTATGGTGCTTTATGGTACTTTGAAATAAGAAAACATACAAGAAAGCATCATTGATAATGCATGTTAAATTAGTCAAGATGTAGTGTTTGCCAAAGAGCCTTACAGGCATCAGGGTTTTTTTGCTTGAACATATGACTGCATTGGAATAGGAATTCTGACTGCATGGGAAATATACAGAATCAGGGAGAATATATATACTTATAAGAAGTTGATTAAGATTTCTCAAAAGATGTCCAATGTAATGTCTCCCAGTGTAAAGCATTCCTTCTTTTGTAGTATGTATCTATAAACTGCGCTCGAACCTGGGATTGCAGTCTTACAGAACTCTCAAATACACTTATTTCCATAGTATTGGATATAGTTAACCCAGCAGATGAATGTCCATGTTGACCACAGGTTTCCATCACGGTGTTCGGCTTCCGTGATGAGAGCCAGCCTCTGGCCCTGCAGGACGCCCGCCGTCAGCTGTTCCAGGGCGGCAGTGTGGACTCCTTCCTGGTGTCTTGTGAGAACCCCCTGGGACCGCTCACACACATCCACGTGTGGCACGACAACACCGGCCCCAGTCCAGCATGGTGAGCTGTCAACTTTAATCTAAGGAATTATCCTAATTCAAAATATAATGTTAATGATTACACGTTCACTTTTTGTATTTGTACATTAAGATTTCCTTCTGATTCATACCAACTCGTATCGTTTTCGTTATCGCATTCTTCAGATATCTTGACTTCCTACACATTGCCTTTAAATTGTGTTTTTTATGTTTAAATTCTATGCATGTTCTTGAGGCTTTTATAAGCATTTTCGCTTTTTCCCTCCTTAAACCAAATTAATATGAAGTTAAACTCAAACAATTAGTAAAATGGGAGAACGCAGCTATTGTTTTGATCATGAGAGAAATTTCTTAGAATCCATCTAAACTTTCCACACTATGAAAACAGACTTATTTAATTAGACCTGCAGTGCTTTGCATGCAACAGTTGGTGTTTTTTTACAAGATTATACGTATAACATAATCTTTACAGCATTTTCACATGATACACTGTCACATATGATAATGTGTCGAATCATGTCACAAATGTTATTAGTCTTAAGGTTAGTGTAATCAAAGAAGGTTCTTAGACACATTCTTATCTTTGCAGGTACCTGAATAAGGTGGTGATTCAACATCTGAGCTCAGGACAGCTTGACTACTTCATCTGCAACAAGTATGCAGTATTTACATAAAATTATTATATACTAGTACATGATTTTATAATAACGGTGCAAGATGGTATTGTAGTTCGGGTTTAAATCCGAAGGTTCTGGGTCCAATTCCCTGAAAGGCCTCATTATTGCGTCCTTGGGGAAGACCACGCCTATTTGCCCACTTGACTCAGTTGGCAATGAGTACCTAGCTTCTGCTAGGGATGTCCTCTCGGATAGGACGTAAAGCCGGAGGTCCCATATTCAGGGAGAGCCATACGTTAAGTACGCCAAAAAACAGTTACTCAAGCAACTGATTTTGGAAACGTCAGACGTTTCAGCTAGTATCCACTAGATTTCGTCAGCGACTCTAGCTGAAACGTCTGACATTTTCAAAATCATATCCAGTTGCTTGAGTAACTACTTTTTGGCGTATCGTATTACCTATATGTCTAACCTTCATCGTCACACATTAAGTACGTTAAAAGCAGGGGTCATTCCCTGTGTAAGTGGTTCAAACCTTACAGTCTGGTCTCATTTGTGACGTATTGAAGAGGTGATATGTCAATGTTGTTATGTCAATCCTTTCATAAATCTATGACACCATTAAATCTATGACCTGTGGCGAAAATCTATGACACCATTTCTAACACAAAGTCGTCTCCTGAATTAAGATGTATAACATTCTGGGTAAGATTTGCACGTGCAGTACTTATTCCTTAATTCGTGAGCAGAATTATAAACTTCAATCCAAATTTGGCTATCAAGTCTGAATTGGAACATTGAGTACAGTAAACTAATATGTGTTTTGGGCGGCATTTGATTTTCCATCTGGAGTGGAAAGAAGGTTTATGCAATGTCTATAGTTCATGATTCACACAGTACTGTAGCACAAAAGCACATATAATTTGTAGCGGAGAGCAAAAACTGTGAAAATAAAACCACCACTACTATTTCAAGTTCTACAGTAAGTTAGTGTGATTCGCCTTTTTGTGCCGTTTCTTTAGGTGGCTAGCTCTAGATGAAGATGACGGAAAAATCGACCGCATGGTCTTTGTAGCGTCACCAGAGGAGATGGCAGCACTCTCCAACCTGATCACTGAAAGGGCTGCAAAGTAAGACTGCATCATTATTTATTTATTTATTTATTTATTTATTTATTTATTTATTTATTTATTTATTTATTTATTTATTTATTTATTTATTTATTTATTTATTTATTTATTTATTTATTTATTTATTTATTTATTTATTTATTTATTCGGCTGTAAAAAAGACAATTTACATCACTATTCAATTCAATTCAAGATTTATTGCACAGAAATCGTAGAGGATAAAATGTATCATAATATAATGGCAAATAAATAAAATAGCAGTTCTAACAACAAGTCTATGGTAATCCGTATGATAGATGGTAAACAGTTCTATACGGTAAGACATGTCTAATGCATACTACTATTGCCTTCTATCTATAGAAAACAGGGCTTACATAATGTAAAAATATGATCAGAATTGAGGATCCGAAACATTGTGCACATTAAACGTTTGTGTCTGAAACAACACAACCTCATTTGCATTGAGCGTTAGATATGTACACGTATGCCTGGCCAAGGTAGAAGGCACTCACATTGACAAGAGAAGGCCTAGAGCACGTTGAAGACTCGCTTTGTTTCTTAGAAGGAGGCTGCCCCATTCTTGATCAAACCTATCAGCCCAGTCTTATGCAACTTGTATTTTCTGTACAAAACTGGTACTCCTTGCAGTGGATTACTCTTCAAGCAAAACAGAATTTGCTGTGCCTACACTCAGATCCTACTGTTTACGCATTCGCAGAGACTTCCATGACGGCCATTTGTTCTACTCCGTGGTTGGTCGTCCCGCCCGCAGTACCTTCACCCGCACCCAGCGGCTGTCCTGCTGCCTGTCCACGGTGTACAGCACCATGCTGGCCAACATCATGTTCTTTGGGCAGGGGGACAACTTCGACCCGCCGCAGCCCGTCCGCATCATGGGCGTGGAAATAGATCCTCCAATCTCCCTACCACAGGTTTGTCTATACCGTAAATCATTTTGATATTGTCCATTGTACACAACTAGATCGTTCTTTACCTTGTGTCCGGCTGAATGTAAAACTCAGACAAAGGTTGCCTTCGGTTTTCGAGAAGTGTATAGTAATCCATCTTGTCGAAAAAAAGTTGATTTGGTTATCATGTTGTACCTACTTAGCAATCAAAATTTTGCAGAACAGACTAATCTTAACATGTAAACATATAAACATCCTTCATGTACTTCCTGTACGTCTATGTAGTTACATCTTGCCATTTGTTCAAGGTGATCTTTGACATTATTTTTTACCTGTATGAAGCTACTTGCCAACTCTTGATTCTGATATATTATGTGGGGAGGTGGCTAAATGCTACCAAAAGTACATTTTATGGTTGGGTAACAAGATTGTAGCTCGTAGTTCCAGACTACATAGTTTTCTAATGTCTGAACCTATAACCTATAACCATTGCTTATTTTGTTTTCCTCAGATCATGATCGCAATTCAGAGTGCGGTCATCATCTTTCCCATCAATGCGCTGATTGTGCTGCTGTACAGAAACGCTGTTCCGAAATCAGGCAGCACACTACTGAGAAAACATGCTGACACAACAGGTTAACAAGGAGATTTTATATGAGACCACACACCAGCTTGGATTTATTCCTGTAGAGCACTGCTTTCTTTGAGTGTTGTAAAATTTGGCAGCATAGTAGCTTGTCTGTATGCATGTGAATTGAGTTTTATAACAAATATGTATGAGTACATTTTAGTCTATTTGTTGGTAAAAGCTGCTGTTAACTAAAGTGAAATATCCACGTGACAAAATCTTCTCCATCAAGATGAAGAAATAACCTTGATTTCATCTTTTTAACTCAAATTGGTCCTTGCAGACATCAAAGCCCAAGACTCTCAAAAATTAAAAAGATGCCATCTGCCGTGGTGGGCAGCAACTGTGGGTGAGTACGGAAATATCACTGCTCGCATATTTGTAGAACTTTAGGCAACCCTAATCTATTTGACATATTAACTGGTAAGAGTCAGTAGATGAAAGCATATTCAGCGAGAGTTGTAGATGAAAACATAGGAATGGGAAGCAAACTTGGCTCAGTGACTTATAGTATTCACCGCCTAAAACTACATGGACTCTCTAAACCAACTCAATGAAAGTATTAGGCTTTCCCCTCAGACCCTTCCTGTTGATATTACACAGCAGCAGCGTCTTTTTTTAATGAACTGGTGTGGTGTTATTATGTGCTTTTACTTTGATTTGACTTTGGATGAATATTTTTATACTTGTAGATCAGAAATATCTCTTGATTCTTGAATAGTTTTATATTTCATTTCCAAACTGAGACAAGATGATCCAAACATTATAATGTAACTCCTGCACTGTTGTCAATATGTAGTTGTAGATGTAGAGTTTAGTCTTGTAGCTAGTAATAGTTACCATATATTGTAATGTATTGTAACTCATTGATTGTCGAACAAGATATGTCATTCATTCAACATTTAATCAACCATTCATTCATTCATTCGTTCGTTCGTTCGTTCATTGTTTTCAGCCGGACTGCTGGCATTCGCTGTCAGCTTTGTGGCCGCGTACTTCACGGTCCTGTACACGCTGAACTTCGGACGTGAGAAGGCGGAGGCGTGGTTTGCTGCCTTCATCACGTCCTTCCTGACAGACCTGATCCTGATCCAGCCTGTCAAGGTGCTGGCTCTCGCTGCCATCCTGGGATTTCTAATCCGGGTAATGATGTTTCTTTTTACTCTATAACATACGGTCTTTTTTGTTATGATCAAGATTGAACTGTGATTTCAAACACAACAAAAATTGGACTCACGCAAATGTTTGACTGTACAACTCCAGTCTTTGTCAAGGTAATGAGCAATCCACCGCTTCCGTGACGAAAAAAAAAAAAGTGTAAACGATGTGCTTCTTGGGCCTCGCGATAAGTGGAGAGATTCCATTGCTTCCGTACACAGTCAGTTCTCCTAATCACCTCTTGTCACGAGGTTTTGGATATCTAAGTAATTAGTTAGTCAATTTTGGCCTTCCCATCCTTCTTCAGGCCACATACTGCTGGTGAGGACTTCACTGCTCTCAAGTCAGGGAATGAAACACTACGCCACAAGTGTAATGCCTGCACGTCTGGCGAAGTTCTCGTTAGAGCTTTTGACAATTTTTCTTGTGTGTTTGTCTCAGAAACCAGCAACAGACGACGACCCGCCGCCCACAGAAGCGGCCGGCGATGAAGAGTACCTACAGGTGGTGGCTGAGCAGGTGAGTGCGGAGCCTTCAAATGTCTAATAGGCAAGATGGTTTGTTCTTATGTAGACTTAAAATCTAAACCTTCTGGGTTCAATGCGTTGATCTATGGAATGTACCTTATCCTATTTCCTCTTTTGACTTCCTCATCGATGTGCCAGAGATGATATTCAGGGAGAGCCACACCTTCACGATCCTACTGCACAAAAAGAATAAAATTGCACCCCGGTGTAAATAGATCAAACAGCCCTGGATTACACAGCTTGTACCTACTGTACAAAACTGATGTTTTACACCTTAAGGTGGTTTACCGGTTACCAAAGTGGGAATCATTGGGACTCCAGATGCATGTTTGACAAGCCTACTGTTTTTTTTCCATACTGTAATATTCTGAAACATCAGGCTGAAACAATAGTTTGGGAGCCACATGAATGAGGTAGTTAGTACTAGTACATCTGTCCTTTTGCTTACAACACCGGCTTCACAGGCATGTCACAGTACGTAAAACCCTTTGACGGAACACATGTACACCAGCTTTGCAGGCATGTAGCGTGCCACCGTTGCGCGATCGGTAACGCAATCCCGCTGGTTGGCCAATGACGCCATGTACCGTGTACCCGTGGGCGCAGTTTGATCCCAGGTTCGGCTCACCTCAAACATGCTGTGGGGGATAGCCGCCGCAAGCGCAAAACCTCTGCACATAATAGAACCCAACACATTTATCAAGAAGAGTAGGGGTGACCTGGTGTGGTTGGCTATAAAACGCGAGCTGTGTTTGGTGAACATGATTACTTGCATTTGATTGACAAGGATTTTAGATATGGGATTTATTATATTGGACTTTGTAGTCATTGCTGTGCCTGATATTTTCCTGGGCTGGAGTAAATGGACCAGTTGGTAGGTCTATGAATTTGTTTGTCCTTTGACAGCCTGCTGCTGAAGTCACTACCAGAAGCTCCCCTTCTGCCGAAGACCTGGCCAGAGACAGAGCTTGCCGCATCAGGAGGAAGAGATGCCGCCACATCCTGCGGGAGATCGTGGTGTACGGCCTGTTCCTGTCCGTCCTGATGGTGACGTCTTACACAGAGAGGAGCAACCTGGCCTTCTACATGAACAACTCCATCAGGAGAGCTCTGGAGGGCGCTGACACATTCTTAAAGGTTGGTAAAAGTCTTCCTTTTCTACTGCATGTACAGTAGTATCTGGTTTTCATTTACGAGTGTTGCTCACATGGTGTCAACGCGCTGCTTTTCATGCCATTTGAAAATCTATCACAGTAATTTATTTGCCTTTCCCTTCTATCTACGTGAGGCATCAGTATGTAATGTCACGGTACTTTTGTCTTCTGCCAATTGTTAGTTCGTCTGGCCTGTTCTTTGCAGTGTCTCTACATACATATTCAGCCTGCACGTTATGGTCTCTATTGCATAAATAACTTTATTACACAGACAATATGTGGTACTCAGTTATAAATCTAAAATTGATCATGTTACATAAAAATGTTACAGTTGTGACTAATAAATAAAAAAACAAATATTACTTGCATGAAAATATGTTGATAAACCAGCATAGGTAAGTCATCTAGCACTAAATCTGTGTTATAAACCAATGCGTGGCAAACAACAGTTTTTGTTTTCAAAAGCACTTGTTCAGCATGCAGTTGGTGTTACAGAGTTGCCATTGCCTTAAAAGCATGCCTACCCGCCAAAGTGCCCAGACAGGCAAGGCTCTCTAGTGTTATTTCAATGTCCTATCTGATATGATATTTCCACCACTCTGATGATTTGTGATCTTGTGGCTACTTTGTCCCAGATATCTGACCCTGCGTCCTACTGGACATGGCTGGAGCAGGACGTCCTGCCTGCTGTCCACAGCCCAGCCTGGTACAACGGGAGGCCGTGTGAGGAAAACCTGACTCTGTCTGAACACCTCACACACGCCATCTCCCCCTTACAACTACGACAAATCCGCACCACACAAGGTTAGGGCCTGCATACCTTCATGTCTGGTTTCCTAAGTGATTTGACTTGGAAATGTGACTCTTGAACTAACAGTAAACTCAAAAACTAAGTTTAGGGGGAACAAAAAGCTCAGTGCTTCAATTTTACTCATTTCTTAAAATNCGCCACAAGTGTAATGCCTGCACGTCTGGCGAAGTTCTCGTTAGAGATTTTGACAAATTTTCTTGTGTGTTTGTCTCAGAAACCAGCAACAGACGACGACCCGCCGCCCACAGAAGCGGCCGGCGATGAAGAGTACCTACAGGTGAGTGTGGAGCCTTCAAATTTCTACTAGGCAAGGTGGTTTGTTCTTATGTAGACTTAAAATCTAAACATTCTGGGTTCAACGTTCCTATATCCTCACTTGACTTAGGGACGTCCTCATCGATGCGCCAGAGACGATATTTAGGGCGAGTCACACCTGGAGCAACCTGTAAGATCCTACTTATTGAAAAAGAGTAAAGCGCACTCCGGTGCAAATAGATCAAACAGTCCGGGATTACATAGCTTTTAATTACTGTACAAACTGATGTTTACACCTTTAATGTTGGTTTACCGATTACCAAAGTGGCAATCATTGAGGACCCCAAATGCATGTTGGACAAGCCTACTGGTATCTTTATATACTGTAATATTCTGAAACATCAGGCTGAATCAATAGTTTGGGAGCCACATGAATGAGGTAGTTAGACCTAGTATATCTGTCCTTTTGCTTACAACACCAGCTTCACAGGCATGTCGCAGTATCTGTGCAGGCATGCAGCGTGCCACCGTCGCGCTTCGATAACGCAATCCGGCTGGTTGGCTAATGCGGTCAAGTACCCGTGGGCCCGTGGGGGAGAGTTTGATCCCAAGGTCGGCTCACCTCAGACATGCTGTGAGGGATTGCCGCCGCAAGCGCCAAGCCTCTGCACGTGAACCCACAAACAATAGAACCCAACACATTTATCAAGAAGAGTAGGGGTGACCTGGTGTGGTTGGCTATAAAACGCGAGCTGTGTTTGGTAAACATGATTACCTGCATTGATTGACAAGGATTTTAGATATGGGATTGATTATATTGGAATTTGTCATTACTGTGCCTGATCTTTTCCTGGGCTGGAGTAAAGGGACTCACTAGTTGAGTGGTCTACAAATGTGTTTGTCCTTTGACAGCCTGCTGCTGAAGTCAATACCAGAAGCCCCCCTTCTGCCGAAGACCTGGCCAGAGACAGAGCTTGCCGCATCAGGAGGAAGAGATGCCGCCACATCCTGCGGGAGATGGTGGTGTACGGCCTGTTCCTGTCCGTCCTGATGGTGACGTCTTACACAGAGAGGAGCAACCTGGCCTTCTACATGAACAACTCCATCAGGAGAGCTCTGGAGGGCGCTGACACATTCTTAAAGGTTGGTAAAAGTCTTCCTTTTCTACTGCATGTACAGTAGTATCTGGTTTTCATTTACGAGTGTTGCTCACATGGTGTCAACGCGCTGCTTTTCATGCCATTTGAAAATCTATCACAGTAATTTATTTGCCTTTCCCTTCTATCTACGTGAGGCATCAGTATGTAATGTCACGGTACTTTTGTCTTCTGCCAATTGTTAGTTCGTCTGGCCTGTTCTTTGCAGTGTCTCTACATACATATTCAGCCTGCACGTTATGGTCTCTATTGCATAAATAACTTTATTACACAGACAATATGTGGTACTCAGTTATAAATCTAAAATTGATCATGTTACATAAAAATGTTACAGTTGTGACTAATAAATAAAAAAACAAATATTACTTGCATGAAAATATGTTGATAAACCAGCATAGGTAAGTCATCTAGCACTAAATCTGTGTTATAAACCAATGCGTGGCAAACAACAGTTTTTGTTTTCAAAAGCACTTGTTCAGCATGCAGTTGATGTTACAGAGTTGCCATTGCCTTAAAAGCATGCCTACCTGCCAAAGTGCCCAGGCAGGCAAGGCCCTCTAGTGTTATTCCAATGTCCTATCTGATATGATATTTCCACCACTCTGATGATTTGTGATCTTGTGGCTACTTTGTCCCAGATATCTGACCCTGCGTCCTACTGGACATGGCTGGAGCAGGACGTCCTGCCTGCTGTCCACAGCCCAGCCTGGTACAACGGGAGGCCGTGTGAGGAAAACCTGACTCTGTCTGAACACCTCACACACGCCATCTCCCCCTTACAACTACGACAGATCCGCACCACACAAGGTTAGGGTCTTCCTGCATACCTTCATGTCTGGTTTCCTAAGTGATTTGACTTGGAAATGTGACTCTTGAACTAACAGTAAACTCAAAAACTAAGTTTGGGGGAACAAAAAGCTCAGTGCTTCAATTTTACTCATTTCTTAAAATAGTCTTACTTTTCTTTTCATTTACTTGTAGCTTAGTCTGAAGCTGGAAGCTGTGCTAAGTTTTGCAAGTCAGAAAAATTCCATGCAGAGCTACACAATGGTTAGGTATACTAAGTCATGTTTAAATGAGTCGCTGTGTAGTTAAACCTGCTCAAGAAGCCCAATCATGATCAGCAAACAATGCTAAAGGTGTCGTCTTGGACAGGTGGTCTTCTTGTGTAGGTTCTTGGGAAAAAATAGTGACCTGGAAAAGGTTGTTATGGCGAGGCGGCTCGAAGAGGTGGCCAATTGGGCAGCTTTGACTGTACCTTTTTTTTGTCTCAATGATCTGAGAAATACATTGTACAGTTTAATGTATTTATTTATTTTATATGTACAATTGCTATATATATAGCTGACAGACATTTCAGTCAATCTTGATCCAGGGTGTCTACTGGGCTCGCTTCTTATTCTTGTAGTTGTTCAACTGAATACAGATGCTGTGTCTGTGTCACACTTCATTCTGATCCGTATATTCTATACAGAACAAGACTGCACTGTTCCGGACGCCATGGCTCACGTCGCAGCCAGCTGTCTGGATGAGTACACTGCAAGTAAACTGGACACAGCCAGCTACAGTGGCAACTGGGGCGTGGCAAGGAACGACACAGATCATGACAACAGTACTGACAACAGGACCATCACGTCCCCATGGGACTACACGTATGGGGACATTAGTAATGGTTAGTCAGTAATTAGCACGATTGTTATGATGTAATTGTATACTGTTTTACGCCAAACCAATAAATAGACTCAGATTTTTCATACAGTGACCATTTAAGAAAACACAGGATTCTTAATGCTAAGGAGATGATCAGAAAAACTAACCGAAATTCCTGCTGGCTCTTATGCTGAGTCAAGTGATCACTAGTAAATGTACAGGCTGTACATGTTTGTGTACAACTGCAAGTGTACTGCAAGGATGTGATGACGTCTCATGCCTGCACGTACCAAGAACATAGCCTTTTAATACGTTTTAGGGCATAGCACATGTGTTCATCTGAAACACATCCTGTAGAGCTTTATTTCATGAACTGTGAATACCATCTGGCAAACCTACCTGGAAGGCAATTCGTCGATACTATCCTATGCCAAGTGATTGCAATGTCCCATTACTTATTGTGTTATCCAGAACACATAAATGTACATGTATCGCATAGTCTGTTGTTCCTGGCCAATACCGACTGACTGGTTTATTTAATACCCATACACTCACCACGTGGTTTCGAATGGCCAAGTGGCTATAGCACATACGACATAGAGAGGTAAAAATGTTCAATCCCTGGTGTTACTGGCTAGACATTGTTTCCTTGGGAAAGGCACTTTTCACGGCTTTTCTCACTCCACCCAGGTGTAAATTCGTTATCCGACTTTGGTTGGGGAGTTAAAAAGGGTGAAAGAGGAGGGAGGGTGAAAGAGAAGGGAGGGTGAAAGAGGAGGGAGGGTGAAAGAGGGGGCTCCAACGTCTAATATCGCCTAAAAAGGCTGTATGGAACGTACCTATATCTTTCTGTAAGTTTACATTCATCTCCCCAGGTTTCCTCTACGTTGGGGAGCACGGTGTGTACCCTGGAAGTGGTTACATCGCCGTCCTGGGCAGGACGCTGAACGACAGCCTGCAGACCCTGGCTCATCTCCGCTCCAACAACTGGCTGGACAACCGGACCCGGGCGGTCTTCACGGAGGCGGTTCTCTACAACCCTCACGCCAACCTCTTCGCTGTGGTCACCATGACGACAGAGTTCCACGTCACCGGGAGTGTCTCCATGGCAACAGAGCTGGTGATCTTCAGGATCCACCATGAAGGCCAGGTCCTGCTGCTGGGCCTGCGGATGGTCCTGATCATCTTTCTGCTCTTCAGCCTGGTCAGGGAAGGTGTGTGTTATAATTGTAAATCTTTCAACATCCAGGTGACTGTTTACATTCTTGAGAAGGCATTGAAGGCCTTGTCTTTGAGCCTTTTGTTTATTATTAATAGATGGGTAAGTACTCCGACAGTACTCACTACATGATGGCGGTTGACATGATGGCCTTACTCCTGAACTAGGAGAACACCTACTTTATACTATTCATGAAGGGCCGTAGTAAGTGCATAGATGTGAGTGGATGCTACTGTGACTGTCGTATGTCTGGTAACATGGAACTTGTAAAGTGCATAATGACTTGTTGCCTTTTATCTCTACCTGTAAGTTCCTTCTAATTGTGTTAAGCATTTTCATTCTTCTATCCAGTCTTGAGGTTCAACACACACGTATTTGCTTACCTGACGGACCCCTGGAGCTGGCTAGAGATGCTCATCATCTCCACAGGTATGGCCACGATGGGGCTGTACTTTCGGGTCCAGAGCATGACAGATGAGGTCTCCGGACTCCTGAAGGAGGGACATGTCCTGTTCCACCTGTACCACACAGCCGCCATGTGGTACCAGGTGTACACGTACCTGCTCGGCGTGCTCACCTGCTTCACCTTAGTCAAGTTCATCCGTCTTCTCAAGTTCAACAAGCACGTCAACGCGCTCCTGTACACCATGAAGAAGACAGCGAAGCCTCTTACCAGCTTCTTTGTCACATCAGGCATCATCTTCACAGCATTCGCACTGGCAGCTCACCTCATCTTGGGTATCACCATCCTGGGGTACAGCAGCTTGATGCGCACCTACACCAGCCTTTTCAACATGATGCTGGGCTCGTTTCAGTTCGCCGTTTTGGAAGAGAGCTCCCCCGTCTTTGGCCCCGCCATCTTCCTGTCCTTTCAGTTCACCGCGCAGTTCATCCTCCTGTCCATGTTCATGACTATCATCATGGGCGTGTACATGGAGGTGAAGGACAGTGACCCCGAGGACGTGGGGATGATGGCGTTCCTGTGGGAGGAGGTGTGTGGGGTGGCGCACAAGATCAAAGCCGCCGCAAACAGGTCTAAACCCCAGCGGCAGCAGCCGGCAGCCAGGGAAGATCACTTCACTCAGCTGGACCTGGTGATGCACGGGCTGTTAGAGGAGCTGGACAGGGATGAGAAATTTAGACGAGAGAGACGCAGAGAAGAAAGGCGCAGAGAACAGAGACAAAGGCAAGAGAGGGACAGAATGGTCCGGTACTCTGAAAACTGGTTGTTTGCGTAAAACATTGTGAAGTCATTTAGTGTACATGTTGGTCCAGAAGCCTAGAAGAAAATAATAAATTCTATTTGTAGTAAAGTAAATATTTTATCTAACCATGCTTTGGATATCAACATAATGCAATCTATGTGGACTTGACAGTAATATAAAACAAAATACCAAATTGTATAAAAATTATATTTTCAATTTCTGTTAATCAGGCCAAAGAAAGCTCCCAAACAAGCTTACTGTACCAGGCAGAAAAGAGCTTAAGGAAGGGTTAGAAAAATTCTTTAAAAAAGGGTTTTAAATTAAGAATGCAATAAAATTAGAAATCAATGTATCATAACCAGATATGACAAATGTATCATAAACAGATACTATTTTATGACACCAGATATGACAAATGTATCATAACCAGATATGACAAACGTATCATAACCAGATATGACAAATGTATCATACACCAGATATGACAAATGTATCATAAATAGATACTACTTTATGACACCAGATATGACAAATGTATCATAACCAGATATGACAAATGTATCATAACCAGATATCACAAACGTATCATAACCAGATATGACAAATGTATCATAAACAGATACTATTTTATGACACCAGATATGACAAATGTATCATAAGAAGATACTATTTTATGACACCAGATATGACAAACCTATCATAACCAGATATGACAAATGTATCATAACCAGATATGACAAATGTATCATAACCAGATATGACAAACGTATCATAACCAGATGTGACAAATGTATCATAACCAGATGCATTTTATGACACCAGATATGACAAATGTATCATAACCAGATACTATTTTATGACACCAGATATGACAAACGTATCATAACCAGATATGACAAATGTATCATAAACAGATACTATTTTATGACACCAGATATGACAAATGTATCATAAGAAGATACTATTTTATGACACCAGATATGACAAACGTATCATAACCAGATATGACAAACGTAATCATAACCAGATATGACAAATGTATCATAACCAGATATGACAAATGTATCATAACCAGATGCTATTTTATGACACCGGATATGACAAATGTATCATAACCAGATACTATTTTATGACACCAGATATGACAAATCTATCATAACCAGATATGACAAACGTATCATAATCAGATATGACAAATGTATGATAACCAGATATGACAAATGTATCATAACCAGATGCTATTTTATGACACCAGATATGACAAATCTATCATAATCAGATATGACAAATGTATCATAACCAGACATGACAGTCACTCCAAAAACAATGCAGCAAACCTAGCTTTTAAACACCCTCTATGTTTTTAAACACCCTCTATGTTGTGGAAATGAGGGTAGAATTATGCTGCAGGTGACACCAAGATAGTTCCTGGCAGACAAAATACCCGACAATTAAGACAAATGATGATGACTAAGGTATGTTAACTTGAAGGTACTCATGGTGAATACTTGAATCGCAAAGTGTGCAATAGCTGACAGCCTAGAGGTCGGCACCGGATGGATTTAACGGACACAAACCAGGCTCATCTCATGGACAATGATTCACGGATCTGTAAATAGGTTTGTGCATGTCAGCATTTTGTGCATGGCTAGCTTAGTATCATATGGTAAGGAAAAGTAGCCCATCAACATGCATGTACTCTACCATACATGTAGTCACCTTGACATTCCGTTTCGCTGAACACTCTAAAAATTCTGGACACTGAACAAGGCTACTTCCTGAGAGAGGTAAAAGAGGCTATTTACATCGGGGTCTATCACCCTTCACTCAACCGCGACGGGGGGCGACATTTTTTACCAGATTTCTTTGACCAAGCGAGTATTCACGTCACACTTTAGAGAAGTCACGTGACAAATCTCACTCAAAGAGCAAATTGACTCGAAATCTCTAGGTTCGAACAATCCTTTGTGTACGAACAAAAGTTTGAAAATTTAGACATCAACACAGATGAAATTGCATGATAGCATGTGTTCACCATTTTACCTTTAGACAATTTTGTAACTTTGGCAAAATTTAATACTTCAGATATGTTGATGGGCTACTAGGTAAAAGTTCACATATGTATAGCTAGAGAAACTTAATATTGTTGTGCCTGAAATGTTACATGGTTGTGTCTCAGTATAAGTGTGTGTGTTTGTTTATGTATGTATGTATGTATGTATGTATGTATGTATGTATGTATTTATTTATGTATTTATGTATGCATGTGTATGTCTGTTCGACTGTACTACATGTTTGAATCTATGTGTGTGTGTGCATGTGAATGTCTGTTCATGTAGGTGTTTGAATCTGTGTGTGTGTTTGCATATGTATGTTTGTTCATGTACGTGTGTGAATCTCTCTCTCTCCTGTGTGTATGTGTATGCATGTCTGAGTCTGTTCATGTATGTGTTTGAATCTCTCTCTCTCTCTCTCTCTCTCTCTCTGTGTGTGTGTGTGTGTGTGTGTGTGTGTGTGTGTGTGTGTGTGTGTATGTTTGTTCATGTACGTGTTTGAATCTCTCTCTCTCCTGTGTGTATTTGTATGCATGTGTGAGTCTGTTCATTTATGTGTTTGAATCTCTCTCTGTGTGTGTGCGTTTGTGTGTGCATGTCTGTGTGCATCTATATACAAGTATAAATATTTAGAAGAAATATATTAATAGTATTACACTGTGTCCGTTTTGGTTCATAGCCAAGCCGCTTTACTGCTTTACTGCTTTGCATGAAATGTTTTATGAATAAAATTGATAAAATTTCAAAGGGCATTTGTCATCACTTGTGTGGAGACACTACTTCAGATAATGACCTGCATTGAGCACCTTTTTATTCTTCATCATTTCCGGCATACTTTAGTAACCCTTCCGTAATATCTACCATCACTCAACCTTTAACCTGTCCTATATTCAATATTTAGTGGATACTTCACTCTAGTGACCACTGGGGCCATATTCTTTACTTGTCAAAAATATTAATTCAACACACAACTTTTGTACTCTCCAAGTAGAGGTTGTGGTGGAATGATCGTTACATTTTTATAGATGGCCGTTTTTTTGTCCTGAACCCCACCAACCCGTCGGTGGCTACGGACCTTCTCTGCCTAATGGATACTGCCTGGCCAATTTGATACCGTCTTTTTGCCACCGACAGGGATCTCCTTGGAGATTACAACTTTTGTTGGTCATTACAAAATGCTCTCTACAGTTAATTGTAGTAATAATTAAAACTCCATAAAACCTGTTCACCCACACATCTAAACTGTGCATACCTGGGGTGCTGCACTAGAGATCTGTCAAACACACTGTTTTCAAAGCAGATATATGTAACCTGGCAGATGTTAAACGTTA